ATATAATAATATAGTTCTTATATTATATATTATAATAATTTTGATTGCTTGATTGTGCAATTAGTTAATAGAAAAGATTTGTAAATATCAACTGAGTTTTCAATTACATTAATCATATTCAATTACATCTTAAAATTTGAATATAAGGTATTCACCTTATATTCAAATTTTACCACTACAAAGATAATTTATGTTATTTATAAAAAAAACCCAAATAGGTCTAGTGAAAGAATATACATAACACTTTTTAATTTAAAATGCTTTTCCATTAAACAAAAAAATAAACTCTTACCTTTTTTATATCTTAAAATTAGCTACAAATATTTCCGATATTTCACAAGTTTTAAGTATTTACAAAAATGTGAAATTTTTGTAAAATGCCATAAGGTGGAGTTTTGTTTTACAAAACATTATTGATTTGTTATTAAAGATTTTCTTTGTTCATTGGCTTCTTGTACGATAATAATTTTAGATATTTTTTATATATTCAGTTATATATTATATACTGACAATAGGCATTTGGAATCTGAATTGAATTTCATACAATTAAACAGAATTTAAAGTTAAAAGTTAAAAATTTAATGAGAAAAGCTATAAGTATGAATAATCAATTATTACCTGATTGTAACAGATAGATTTATTATATTGAAATGTTTGTTTTCATTTAACCACAACAATTTTTATTATAACATTTTTCATGCCCTCTTAATTAGTTGATTGTTATTTTAAAACAAATTTTCAAGTAATTCAATTCCTTGATAAAAGAAACTCATTGTTGGATAACTAATTAGACAACTCTACTGATATGCCAATTATTTTTGGACTACACTGAAGTCAATATTTAATTAAATAATGAAATGTGACCCAGAATTATGCAATTATGCTGTATACTTTTAGACCACATTTCATTACTTCAGTAATTAAAGATTAGTTTAAATATAGCCTTAAAAACTTTAGGTTTGTATTTTACAATTATTGCTAGATCAAAGCCTTGCTTTATATTACCTGCTAAGATAATATATTTATTATAAATTACAAATGATGGCATCAGTAAACCAAATAATCAGTGTTATCTAGCAACATGAAAAACATCTTATAATTATATAAAGTCTATTAATTTAAGAAGAGTATATTTAAAAAATAAAACATATTTTTTTATATTATATTTTGCAGTTGTTATTACCATATTTAATCATTATTTATGTCAAGCAATAAGTATAAATATAGTATCAAACGATAACAGCAGTTTTGAAAATTAATTTTGTATTTCATATGAACTTACCCTAATGTTCTTTAATATCCAAACAGCTATATTAATTATCCAATAAAACAATATTAATCATTCTTACAGAAATTCACATTAAATTTACCAAACATTATCTTTTGTTTGGCAAACAGACATTTAAATATACTTCATTTATAAATTGTATTATGCATATTTATATATTATAATATAGATATTTTAATCAATTTATTTAAATGACAATAGAATATATTTTATAATATTTTAATCCCAGGTCTCTCTTCAACCAATTTTTCTCTAAAATAAAGTAAAAAAAATCTTATCAAAATCCACAAATAAATATAGACAGATATTGTAAAGCATTGTATCATGATCACTGAAAAATGTTTAAATTTGATCTTAATCATCCTTTATAATCACTATTTCAGTCCCAATTAATACTATTAAAGTGAAAAGTAGCAAAAATTAAAAAATAATGCTTAAATACATGCTTTAATAAACAAAACTTTGCAATTAAAATACAATAGCATTTGAATGATAATCTTTTTATTGATATATCTGTAAACAATATATTTGTTTTCTGATTTTAACTTTTAAAAAACAAAAGGGAAATTGAAAGTAAAAAAATAAATAAATAAAAAAGCTACTTTTCAAAATACTAAAACTATTCAGAACAAAAATGCATCTGTTTATCAAATAAAAGATAATGTTTGCTGTCTGATAACTTTATTGTCTCAATATATAAATCAGTGTTTCCCAAATTTTTAGACTACTGCATCCTGTTAATGCATATATATATATATATATGTTACCAGCCAAACCCGATTTCAGGCCAAACGGGTTTATCCTACTCATGTCAGGATATACTAATTTAGCCCAGGACAATCTAGTTTGGCTAAGGCCGAACTGATTTAAAGTTATTATTCAAGTATATTAATGGTTAAAATAAAATTAATTAAATTAAAGGGCAATCAATTAAGTGAAAAATATTTACTCAAACATAGTCTACTTAATTATAAAAAACAGTATTGATTAGAAGTGACACAATGCTGTACAGTACAAAACTATAAAATAAAAATAAGCTAATCAGTACTTATCAGTTTGTATTTTTTTTTTTAATTAAGCCATGCACTTTTAAAGGTAATTAACTTTCGAAAATATTTTCAAAAATTAAACGAAATAATAAAAATAATTTTTAGAATCTAACTAAAATTAAAAATTAACTTATTTGTGTATTTGTCTTAGTGTAACACATAAAATATTTAATCTTTTATTTATTTTTACAGGGTGTACTGTTGTGGCAATTTGAATTACACAAAATCATTTTTTTTTATATTGGCACCTATTTGTAGCACAGTTTTTGGTACAGGTGCATCTTGTCCTGTCCCAACTGAATGTTTGGTAGCTGCAGTCTTTAGTGAGATTTGAACATCTTGATTAACATCACTTTCTTATAGAAATTTATGAGTACAAAGGTTGTACTGTAATAAACAAATATTTTATTTTGACCAAATTACATAACATACTTATGCTTTTTAGAACAAACAAAACGACGTTTAACATCGCACTTTTTTCTTCGAAGATCTTTATTAGGCCTTCATTATAAGTAAATATTATATAAAAACTCTATCTGAAAAAATTCATAAAACTTGAAAACTTCTTCCAAATATAAAAACAATAATCATCGAAATCAGTTTGGCCTAGATCAAACTAGTTAAGCCTAAAGTATTTAGGCCAAACTAGATTGTCCTGGGCTAAACTAGTATATCCTGACATGCGTAAGATAAACCTGTTTGGCCTAGGACAAACTAGTTTGGCCTGAAATCAGGTTTGGCCAGTAACATATATATTTCAAAATGAGTTTTCTTTGCCTTCCAATGTCCTTTAAGTCTTCTGTTGCCCTCTAGGGGACATCCTCATCCGTTTTGGACATTTTTTTAAAATCAGATTACCTATTATAAACTTGTTTCATAAGAGTATCTTTTATTAATAAAAATTTTAACTTTATAATATAAATAAAGTCATTGGAAAATATTTTTTTAAATAATTAGTTCATTACTGAACAGACTATTTTTACAGATGGGTAATCTTTTTAATCAAAAGACCATATCCTATTTCTGAAGTAACTGTCAAGGCTACATTACATATTACAGATCGCATAATTATATATATTTACCATATATGCACCAATAAGGGGTTGTCCATAAATGACATCCACACTGAAAGGCAGGGGAGGGAAGAAATTAAGACAAGTTGGACAATGTTGGACAAGGAGAAAAAAGGAGTTGAGCTTCAATGGATGTCCATTTATTTCATTAAGTTTTAAAACAGTTTATGCATTTTACTATAAGTCTAGTTATCTCAAAATTTCTTGTTTGTTTCGTTTCTACTTATGGTATCTATTATTCATAAAGTGATAAAGATTTTAAGAGTGGTTGAGTTTTGTTGGACATCTGAAGTGGGGAGGGGATTACAGAAACTTGGACAAACTGGGACAAGGAGGAGGAGGAGGAGTAATTTATAGACAGTCCCTAATATATATAAATTGTAGTTAGATGTCTTTATTGAAAAAAAGAATGGAAACATATTTTAATAACTAATAAGTTTCATTTTGCTGTCATGGATAAATTTCATTTTTATCATTTTATATTTTATCAGGTTGCACTAAAAGCTACAAAGTTTCTCGTCTAAGTCAACTATTCTTGAAACATTAAACATATAGAATAAAATAGAGCCAAAGTAGGATATCAATTTTTATCTTTCATCTAAATGTACTGTAATAATCTTGAAATTAATCTTAATTTAAACTTAATCAACTATACTGATCGTCTATTTTAATTCATCAATTTTTTTATTGTAGAAAAGTTAATATGTCATTACATCTTTAATCTAGTCCCAAAAACTAAAACAATAAAATACAAAACATAAATAATAAATTTTGATTATACAAAGTGTTAAGAAATTAAACTGGCAGAATGAAATGGGTAGTAGAGAATGGGTCAATAAAAGCAAATTTTGTCCTATGAACTGGGTTGTTGTGTAGGCCTAATGGATAGTGGAGACAAAACAATTTTGTCTTCTGCTTGGATGGTTTGGTTTTTCCAGAGGGGGTCAGTGTAGCAAGATGCATTGCAATAGGATCCTGTCTGAGGCAGACCTGAATGAGAGCTACTGACCTTGCTCTGCATTGGCCTGCCCAACCTCATTAATTTTAAAAATGAAGGGACGAGGATCCTCAGACAATTTTTTTGGATCTCTTGACCAAGTTAGAAAGACAGCTAGAGTTCCCTTGGCAGGTGTTGTGTAGATAATTACATCTAAACTCAGACAATGGGCATCCAATCATAGGGACTGGCACCCAGATGTGGCAGATTCTATGGACTCTTCCTTCAGAATGACCTGTCGACAAACCAGGACACGGTATCTAAAAGGGAGGAAGAAACAATTGTCCTATCAGTCAGCACTGTAAACTTTACTTGGATATTGCAGCAGCCACCTTATAACTTACAGATTTCTAAACTTTTGATAGTGATTGTTGCTCTGTGATGCATGAATACCACAAAAGCCTGACATTATTGTTAAACATTTGTTAAAGCTATTCAAGGAGTTCTTTTAATTCACACTATTGCAATACCATTGTGAAAACTCTCTTCACATTGGATATCTTTCAGGGCTTGTTTTGTACAGTTTGATGGTAAAAGACTGTGTTCATGTAGCACAGTCCAGACTTTGAGATGATTCATCCCAACAACATGCATTGAATACATGAATTTCTTCAAAGTCATCAGTTCTTATCAAATGTGGTTGTTTCTATCAATCTTTTTTCTTTTTTTTAAATCACTTTTCTTGCAATTGCAATTTATTTTTGCACACACAAAAAATATCAGAAATTAACATATTAGTACAATTCAATGTATTGGGGTCTGGGATGTGGGTCTTGATAAAGAATTTATGCAAAAAAATAAGCAACGAAGCTTAAAATTTATACAAAGGAGCTTTGTCATATTAAAGAAAAGGGTAGCCATAGCCAATTCAATAAAACAATTGAATATTATGAATGAAAATAAAATATAATAAAGGCCAAAATATTAAAAATATTAGCCATAAGACTTCTTGAGACATAAATAGAATGAAATTAATGACAAAATCTTAAAATAGTGTTAAAAATCTTTATAATTATAAATTTCAATAAACAAATAAACTTAAGTTATTTCAGAAAATAATGAAAATTTACAAACTATAACAAGATAAACACAACAATTATCACATCATTTATTTCCATTCACTAAAGTTACCATTTGATTATACTATAATCATCATTCAGGATCATTTTGTATATTCAATGAGAGAATAATCATTTGCATTTAGTTTATCTGTAAATAAGATGCTCCTGAGATGTGTGAATTTCTCCATTACGTCTGATAAACATTCACTCAGTCAATATAATTAAATATCTACAGGTTAATGTATTGAAAAAACAAAAGTTAGAATGCCAACATTTTAAAAGAATGGAGTTTAGGAAAAAAAATTTTTATTGTGAAATATACATTTTTCTCCATCTCAATTGATCTTATGAAAACATTTAAATAAATATATTAGGCTTTTGGATTTTGGACTTTTATTATTTATTTATTAAAACATTTTGCCCAACTGTTTTGCCAATATTGTTAATTGAATTTAAAATTTGACATTGACAAATTGACTATGGGGTGACACCACAATGAGATCTTGCATCACCTCAAAATCTTCCTAGGGCAGCCTCTAATTCGGCCCATGAAAAAAGTTTTCTTTCCAATTTGGCCCAGGGGCAAAAACTGTTGGCCACCCCTGGTATAACTTTTCAGAGAAAAATTTTTGAATTGAAATAACATGACTTCTGGTTTGTATCAGAAGTTTATACATAGTTAATTGGGTCACCTGACCCTAAGCTTTCCATATCTGGTCTTGGATTTCATTTATCTAACACTGTTCTTGAGATTAGGGAAAGACAGAAGGTTAACAGTGGGAATTTATAAGTCTACAATTTTTTTGAATTGCAGCCCAACAAACATCCTGTGTTTTGATTCAAGTTTTCACTTTTCTAAGATGCATCTGTCTATGCTTTTAAAACTGTTACACCACAAAACAAGGCATATGACAATGATGGTGGGCTTTCCTATACTACATGCATACTGTGTAGTGAAGAGAAGAAATTTTAGAAGCATGTATCTTGTAAGGAGGAAATAGCAACCTCCAGTTCTTGGACCAGAATTGCTTGTATTGACCCCTTTCTATCACTTATTTCATTTTGTTGGTCTAATTTCTTAACATCCTATAATTATGTAAATAATTAATGCTTTCCAATCATTATTTATTTATGCATAATTATGAAAGAATTCCTGCATAAATAGTTCAAGTAAATGATTGAAGAAAATTTAACTGTATTTATACCTTTAATATTTAAAACATCTAGTATCATATATCTTTCATTTTAAATACGAATTTAATATAGTATGTTTTTTGGCTAAAGCACAATTTTTTAAAATTTATTTTTAAGTAAACATTGATTTTCATAAGATACACTTGATATTGTATTAAGAAAACATTTTCAATACTGCATTATAAATATAAAACTGTTTAATTTACTTGTATATTATACGAATGTTTAAATTTTTTCTCATCAGCATTAATATTATAATTTATTAATAAATGTAATTCAATCATTTAAATTAATAATGTATCTGAAATATAACAAATAAAACTATTTTATATGTGGGATTAACTTAACGAATGCTCCAAATTTAAATATAAAGTGAAATAAGCAGTATAAATCATAAAATTGTATTACATAAATAACATCTATCAAAAGAAAACAACAAACAGCTAGATATAAAAACTGTCTGAATCTTTGTTTGTTCTTTCAGTTATTAACTTTTAAATTGTCTAATCATTACAAAATAAATTTTAGAGTAATTCTTGAATTCTGTATCAAATTATTTAGTATAATAAGAAAATATACTAAATAATGATTTGATATTTATATTTACTGCAGATATTTTGTCATGACTATTATTCAACTATTTTATTTTATTTTATCCTACCCTATGATATAAAAATATATCTGATTATTAAAATTATGAAGATTAAATATCTTAATAATAAATGCAATTATTGTGATTTTAATGAATCAATTGAAATTATATTATTAATGTAAAAAATGATGAGAATTATAAATTTTAAAAATTATTTCATTTTCAGAATAATGAAATTTCTAGATTATCTAATTCATTGTATATTTTACAATCCAAATAAATTAAACATGATAAATTTATTTACCAATGTTGTCATTTTAGGCTTCTTTCCCATAACTTTTCCAAGTATATTCCCTATATTACTTGAACGTTTAATGCTGAAATACATAATAAAAAATGATCTAGTTTAATTTGAATGATATTTATTGAATTATGCTGATCACAATATTTCATTTTGTATCACTAAACATTAAGATTTAGAATTTTTATTAGTCTGTTTGCTAACTCAAATGTTAAGAATATCATTGAACAGATAGCAATAATATAAATTTTAATTAAAAAGTTATGCAATTTTTTTCTCTTTCAAAGGAAAAAAACACATATCAAATATCAATATGTTCTTTTCTATAGAAGAAAATCATTCAAGAATGCATTAGCATGCACCTCAGCAGTTTTTCTGCTGAGGTGCATCATCATCAATCATCATCATTAAGAATTATTTTATTTCCAAAATAATTCGAGCTATTTTTATGTACAAATTACTTAATTCTAATTTTTTCCTCTTTTTTTTCTCTCTCTCTCTTTTTTTTTAAAAATACAAATTATTAATAAATCTCTGGTAAAAATCTAACCAGAAGACAAAACATTTGGTATAAAAGAAAATAAAAAATGAGGAGAAAAGTATACAAATGGATACAAAAAAAGACAAGAATATACAAATTAGACTTTTGTTCAAAAGTTCTCAACACCTTAATCTTTTAAATATTTTGTTTTAATTGTTAGACAAATTAAAAATGTACTATTTTTTAATAAGAATTAAGAATTTTAATTTAATACAAAATTTCTTATATAATAATTATATTCTTTATAAAATCATTTAAGAATGTTCAAGTAAAACAAAGACTTCTTTAAAGTCTTAAAAACTTTTTAAAGCATTTTCCTACTCTTTCTCAATGTAGACAGACTGAAATACTTTGCAAGAAATGTACCCAAATATAAAAAGATTTACTTATACTCTTCAACCATGTTTATACAATGTTTTGAATTGTTTTATTTGTTTGAAAATAATAATCACTAGAAAGAATTAGGTCAAGAATGCAAGAAAACTGTCATTGAAATCAGAATATTATAACAATCAATGATAAAAGATCAAGAAGATCCTTTATCATTGATAAATGTAAAAATATTTCATAATATACTGCATTATAATATCTACTGTTATCTCTAGAACTGAGTGAAATCCACATGAATAATATCTTTCATGTTTCAAAACAAATATGAACTATAACCTTATCAGCTGATAGAACTCAATGAAATTTTTTGAGAAGTGATGATCACAGGTTTTGCATTGTTTGTTGATATATCTTGATTTAAAAATATAATAATATATCCAGATTTCATAATATATAATGATTTTATTTACAAAACTGATTATTTTCATCAAAATGCTTCTAAATGCTTTACAAATCTGAAATTATATGAGAGCTGTTTCTTTTTCAAACTCTGATGGTCCATAAAACAAAGACAAGTGTAAATAACAAAATCAATTTATTACCAGAAGTTAGGTACAAACATGATTACTTTTCAGCATAATCACTGTGATGATTGAGGCATTTGTCTAACTGTGGATGAGTAAGTCTTAAAGTCTTCACACATTAAAAAGTTCCAATCTGGGTGGAAGTCTTACCACCTTTCACTCATCCAGCATATAGCCTCAATCCTCGCTTTAGTGCTAAGAGACTTCAACCTCTTTCCTAAACAGAAAAATTGGCTAGGAGGGCAGAGGTTCGAGATTAATGACGATCTTCAAAACAACATTAAGGCCATCCCAAGTCACTGGTGGCAACATTCTACAAAGAGGGAATTTCTAAGCTCATCCACAAATAGACAAATGCTTCAATCTTCATGATGATTATGTCAAAAAGTAACCATGTTTGTACCTAACTTTTGGTAATAAATTTATTTTGTTATTTACACTTATCTTTGTTTTAAGAACCATTGGAAGTTGAAAAAGAAACAGCTTATGTACTGTACTTTGTTAGCAAGTGGTAATTTGTATTGGCATCTAATGTGAAGATAATTTCTGGAAAAATAGATATTCATGAATGATAATGTTATCATTGCTTAATTAATCATGTATCTTCAGTAACTTCATGCACATAACATGGGTAAAATCATTGTATCCATGATTATTTGCTACTGATATTAAAATGAATGCATCATTCAAATATCCCTAATCTGTTAAATGCTTTTTCTCCAAACTGTAAGTTGAAATCTTTTGTAAACTTCTATTTGTATGTACCATCTGAACAATCAATAAATTTTGAATTTGTTTGTAAAAGAACAAATGTTATGACTGAAATCAATTTTTATGTCTCAACTAACTTATAGCCATTGGTAATGATGACAGATAATTTTTATAAATAGTATATATTTATATAAAAGTAAATAGTAAAGCAAATTAATGATATATTAGTCAAGGCTGGTTGTTAAAATCTCAGTTTTACTTGAATATCCCTCGTAACGTTTAGGCAAAGTTAAAGTACAATACAAGTATAACAAACATCCCAAAGCCTGATATAGATACATAAAAAACAATTGCCTTAAATTCCAAATGTTTCTAAATTATTTAATAAATTATTAAAATTATAAATATGAATTTAAATAAGAAATGGCACCTAATGTCTACCTTTAGTAGCAAATTACTTAGTATTTATAGCCCGATTATTTAAGGCAATCATTTAAGAATCTAACTAAAATTAAAAATTAACTTATTTGTTTATTTAAAATTTTAAATTCATTATTTTTCTCAGAAGGAGTTCATAAAAATACTATACTTCAGTTAGCTTTGCTTTAATTTGCTCTCATTCTCATGTCTGTTTTTAAGTTAAAAGGCAACAATTAATTTTCAGTTATTTAAGTTAAAAATAATCTGTTTTACGTAAATATGAATATGTGCAAAATAAGCTAAATTTAAAATATAAACATATTAGAAAGACATTCAAAGTAAAATTACCCAACTTGAGCACTTTTATTAGATTCTGGTTGTTCGGCAGCTTTATTTTCATCTTTGTTTTCAAATTTCTTAGCTTCTTCTGAATCTACATCAACTTCTTTTGTTACCCTAAGCAAATATTTAAACATATTTATTTGATTTCAGAATTTTTGTAAATATTTTATTGTTAGAAAAACAATTTGAACTCAAATAACTTAATTTTTAGATTAAAAAATAGGGGGGAAAAAAATACTTAAAATTTAAATTTTCTTCTAAGATTTACATCAAATAAAAGTAAATTAAAAATTTAATAAACTAGAATGCTATGCTATAATAATTTTATTCTATTTTCATAGTAATATAGTCAAATTTTACAATGAGTAAATTAATAGAAAAATTTCTTAAAATCATATTTAAGAAAACTCAAAGTAGTATTTAATGCAGTAATACCCCGAACTTACACGATAGGTGGACCGAGCGGTAACCGCGTATGTCGAATTTGCATAAGTTGGGGTATAATTTCACATATAAATACGTACAAATAATTCTTAATTGGGGCCAGAGACTAAAGAAAACAATAATTTAGAAAAAAAATGTTTAATAAAATCTTAGATAATACATATGTATAACAAATTAGGCCTATATTATTTTACAATTTTTCACATTTACTTGATTATTACGCCATAATTTTAACATTGTTTCCATCTCAGCGATAATACTNATTTATGATAAAGAAGTATAGAAATAGCTTAAAATAAATTGTTAAAATTAAAAAGAGCAAATAATCAACACTTTAAAATTTCAAATGGATGTTAATTCTTTATTACAAAAATATTATAAAAATTGAATGCAAGTGAAAATACTACAAGAAATCCTTGTTAATTCAAACTTGGATAGTTCGAAGTCCCATTAGTCATAACTGTACTTTTGTCCCAGTCAGGGATATAAAAATTTATATGTTAAGATATTCAGTTAGTTTGAATACAGCTATTTTGAAATTTGAAACGAAAATTCTGTCAACTTAATGCATAGGTTAGCTTATTTGTTTAGATCAAAGTGTCTCCATACTATAAGAGAACAATAGTCCAAGAACAATTCTAATCTCATCAATATGGCTTTGCTTTTACAGTAACACATTTTCAGGTGTCATCTTACACATGAACTACCCTTTTTTCTCTTATCTCATAAAATACGACCAGTTTTTGGAATTGCAAGATTGGGCTACAAGTAGCAAATTGGGATATTTGTAGGATTCTAGCTACTGAATTTGGATGACTCACTACTTTTTGCACCACTTTAAAAATAATTTGGGCTACATTTTGAGAAATTCTGCTTTACTTTTTATAAAACCATTGTGGCAAGTTGTGAGGTTCTCACTGGACATGAGATGTTTACCTGCAGTTTATTCATATCATTATTATTATTAATTATTAGTTAACAAAAATAGCATTTTGTATATGTAGCCATATTCCATTTCCTTAATAAATTACATCAGTTATGTGGAATTTTGCTTATTGTACAGAAATATGTAATCTAAATCTCAGATAATTCGAAACTCGATAATTCAAAGTCTGATTATTTTGTCCCTTAAATTTCAAATTAATGAGGACTTCCTATAATATCATGACAATTTTTATATTCATATCTAGCAAAAAGCAAATAAAAGTATGAATAAGTGAAGAGGGTCTGACATTGTCAGGTGAAATCACCCACAAAAACTTGAGGATTTAAACTAGATTCAAACTTAGGTCCCTCAGAGAAGCATGCTGACCTGGGTCCCTTACTACCTGTCATCAGATTATCAAATCTGTTATTGTATATTTTGAAGAAAAAAATATTACAGAATGTATATATAAATATTATTTTTTTCATTTTTAACTGTCCTATCAGCACTAAGAAAGCTTATTTTAATCATACTCTTCATGGATTTGACCAGGGCCACAATGGAGGCAGTCAGGTGATCAGAGACAAAATCTGATAAATCGAGGACAAACTCAACCATTAATATTCCAAGGGAGTTGATCATCAAGATTCAATCCTGGTCCCCAAAACAACAGATTGATATCTTAATTGCCTCAGACATCCAACAGACTACAAACATTGAGGTTGAATGAAAAATAGCAGTAATCTTAATAACTTTGAAAAATGAGATCCTTCAAAGTCTGCTAAAATGTTTATTAGTTAATTACTTAACACTGCCTCGCTTAATGCTGATTCGATGTAACGCTGTCTGCTCAAAGCCTAAAAAAAAAAAGCTCAAAATTTATGCTGATTTAAATTATTGCAGCATTTTATTCATTCATACATAATACAATTATTTACGAACACGAACCAATCAGCAAAAGGTGGCAAAAAGGTGTACTTTCTTTAAATCTATGTATGTTTGGTGCAATTTTGGAAAAAATATAACATCATGGATGCCATAGGCAATATCGACTTCGCTTGGCAAAAATTAACTGATAAATGCACAAACAAAGTGTGGAAGAAGTTATGGCTGAAGGTATCCAAGAATTCTCAATGAGAAGAGCCTATTGCTGTATCATTAGGTTGATCAAACTCAACCTAATCAATATAGCAGGACTAGCAGATGTAGACGAACAGGATATTTAGGAGTTACCGCAGGTTTCTGGTGAGAGTCTTATCAACGACGACCTTTGAGAATTGGCAGAACAAGGAATCCATGTAGAACTGGAAAATAGTGATTCTGAAAACGAAGAACCCAAAGAATTTCTCTACAGATTTCCTTAGTTAAAGTTTGGTAACGATAACCGAAATCGTTGATCAAATTGTAGTGAATGATCTAGATTTTAAAAGGAGTGCATAAGCAAAATGAGGTGTTTTGGATGCGATCTTCTACTACCGACATTTGCTTAAGGAAAGAAAAAAGCGACAAATGAAACTTCAAGACTTTATTGCAAAAAAACAAGAATTTCAGAAAGGTCAGGACCTTCGTCACAAAAAATGAACAATTAATATAGAAAAAATGAACTAATTAATATATTATTATACATTTCTGTGTGCATATGTTTATGTGTTATTTAACATATATTATTATACAAATTAATATAAAAATGACTTAAAATTAAAGTAAATTTTTTTTATTTTCGATCGCGTGTTACCCCTATCCTTATTTACTCTATGTTAAAATGATCTCGTTTAATGCTGTTTCATTTAGCGCTTTATCGTCTAGGAATGCATCCCCCGTGTTAAGCGGGGTCTTACTATATTTGGTAAACAAAAACAGATACTATAATTAAAAAAAGGCTGTTTTGTTACCAGGCATTTAAAACTTATGTAAACAGTTAGACATTTAAACTTTTTCTGATTTAATCCTTGCAAGATGTTAGAAACATTGATTTTTTATAAAAGAAATCATCAAGGCTGTGGGCCAGATATGAAGCCTTAATGGGCTATGTTCAGCCTGTAGGCTGCCAGTTTCTATCCCCTGGTTTAAATCTTATAAAAATTAAGAATTTTTAAATTAATAAAATGAAAATTTCAAAGTACATAAGCATAATAATCAAAATAAAGTATTTTGCATTTACTATTTAAACACAAGTATTTGTGACAACTGTTATATTTGACATTGATATGAAGAAAATAACACCTTACTTATTTCAGCAGCATTTATTTTGAATTACAAAAGATTTTGGCCATATTTAGAGGCTTTCTTCAAGTAAAAAGACATTCCATTTAACAAACATTTTGATACATGTTTGATAAATGATCTCTAAATATGGCCAAAAACTTTCATAATTCAGAATAAATGTTGCTGGAATAAGTAAGAAAGGTGTTATTTTGTGCATATCGATGTTAATTGAAAAGTTCCAGTTTATTAATTAACTTTGTTATATTTGATTCTCAATTTGTTTCTACAGTAAACATAAAAAAATTAATACTTAAATTGTAACAAATATTTGCTCTAATATGCCAAAACTAACATTTGCATTCTACTCCTCCATTTTCAGCATATATTAGAACTATACCTAACATATATTCTGATCTTGCAAATACAATAGGCTAATGATAGGCTAGAAATAAAACATGACAGTATAAGGTCTGTCCCAAAAGTAAGTGTATTAACTTTTTATTTCAAAGTATACAAGAATTACATCAAACTACAAATGATCTCTTTCAAAGTATGACCCTTGTGAAGTCACATAGTAGTTGCAAAGTTTTTCCACTAGTTGTAGTAATACTTGAAGTCATTTTCCATTTGTCAGTTAACTTTTTTGATGTTTTCCACTGTCCCGAAATCATGACCTTTCAACTTGGATTTTATCTTAGGGAATAGGTAAAAGTTTCACAGAGCTGGGTCCAGGCTGTAGGAAGGTTGTGGGAGTGTGGGGATTTTTTCTTGGCCGAAAACTCTTGAATTGATAGTACTGTGTGAGCAGGTGCATTATCATGGTGCAGCACCCAATCTTCTGCACTGTCTCTGCATACTTGGTTGATCCATTTTTGAAGTTGTTCCAAGACATCTTTGTAGAAGGCCTGATTAACTGTCTGTCCTAAAGGTAAAAATTCTTTGTGCACAATTCCACAGCTTTCAAACAAAAAAAAAAAAAAAAAGATAAGCATAGTCTTTATCCTGGATCTTTGTGCCATCTAAACACCATGTTTCTTGATAAAGTGGCATTTCCATAAGCTTTGGTTAAATCTGCAAATGTCCAGTTGCAGATTTCTTGAGTTTCACACAAAAATTGATAACATAATGTGTTTGAGATTTTTCTCCATTTTAAATGTAACAATCTGTTAAAACACTATCTTACACAAACAGAGATTGTGCATGTTTGACTTAATTAACCATTCAACTTGAAATAGGTCTGGACATGCTGATAAGATATCTAACAATGTGAAAATACCAGTTAATGATGTGTTAAGCTGCACAGTCATTAAATAAAAAATCAGTCTTACTTTTGGGACAGACCTTTTATACTATGATGCACTTTTGCTATATAAGTCAAAATAAACATCTCCAACAGAATATAAATATTTTAAGCAGTGTAGTATCATGATAGCTACATATATGACATTAAAACATGATATGCCATTGCTTACACTCCAGCTGATAGAATAGTGTATTTATCTATGCTGAATTTTTATTATATTAATTTCTCAATTAAATAAGTAAAATAAGTTCATCAAAGACAAGATTTAGTTTGAACAATTATTGCAGCTTGCCTGAGTTACAACACAGTCATTGTTATAGCACTGCATACATTTTAAAAATTTATATCTAACTAAACATAAATATTTTTTATATTTAACTTTTTCTAATCAAAATTTAATAAATAATAAATAAATAAATAAAAAATAATTAGTAAAATTTAAATATTTTCAAATGTAATTATTTTCATGAATTACATTTTAAATCTGCATTTTAATATATCCTAATACAAAAATTTCTCATTTGAACATTATCATCCATAAATCACACATTAAATTATTATTAATATTAATAATAAAAGAAGTACTATATAAATGGTCAGCAAATCTATGATAATTATAATTATGATCCTCAAAAAATTTGTCTAATTAATAAACAATATTAATATGAGTTTACCAAAACTAAAGTATTTAGCAAATATTAACTTTGATTTTATCATGAAAAATTCATTTGCTTAGTAGTAGTAAATTTTTGAAAAAAAATAAAAAAATGATTGCTGCTAAAATAATTGAATTGTACTAATTTTAAACTAAAATTTAAATAAAATAAAAACTTTTTAAATCTNATATTTACTCAAACATAGTCTACTTAATTATAAAAAACAGTATTGATTAGAAGTGACACAATGCTGTACAGTACAAAACTATAAAATAAAAATAAGCTAATCAGTACTTATCAGTTTGTATTTTTTTTTTTAATTAAGCCATGCACTTTTAAAGGTAATTAACTTTCGAAAATATTTTCAAAAATTAAACGAAATAATAAAAATAATTTTTAGAATCTAACTAAAATTAAAAATTAACTTATTTGTTTATTTAAAATTTTAAATTCATTATTTTTCTCAGAAGGAGTTCATAAAAATACTATACTTCAGTTAGCTTTGCTTTAATTTGCTCTCATTCTCATGTCTGTTTTTAAGTTAAAAGGCAACAATTAATTTTCAGTTATTTAAGTTAAAAATAATCTGTTTTACGTAAATATGAATATGTGCAAAATAAGCTAAATTTAAAATATAAACATATTAGAAAGACATTCAAAGTAAAATTACCCAACTTGAGCACTTTTATTAGATTCTGGTTGTTCGGCAGCTTTATTTTCATCTTTGTTTTCAAATTTCTTAGCTTCTTCTGAATCTACATCAACTTCTTTTGTTACCCTAAGCAAATATTTAAACATATTTATTTGATTTCAGAATTTTTGTAAATATTTTATTGTTAGAAAAACAATTTGAACTCAAATAACTTAATTTTTAGATTAAAAAATAGGGGGGAAAAAAATACTTAAAATTTAAATTTTCTTCTAAGATTTACATCAAATAAAAGTAAATTAAAAATTTAATAAACTAGAATGCTATGCTATAATAATTTTATTCTATTTTCATAGTAATATAGTCAAATTTTACAATGAGTAAATTAATAGAAAAATTTCTTAAAATCATATTTAAGAAAACTCAAAGTAGTATTTAATGCAGTAATACCCCGAACTTACACGATAGGTGGACCGAGCGGTAACCGCGTATGTCGAATTTGCATAAGTTGGGGTATAATTTCACATATAAATACGTACAAATAATTCTTAATTGGGGCCAGAGACTAAAGAAAACAATAATTTAGAAAAAAAATGTTTAATAAAATCTTAGATAATACATATGTATAACAAATTAGGCCTATATTATTTTACAATTTTTCACATTTACTTGATTATTACGCCATAATTTTAACATTGTTTCCATCTCAGCGATAATACTGTGACGTTTATGAATGATGCTTTGAATTTAAAGATTTAGCATTTTTCACAGCTTCGAGAATTTTTTCTTTGCCTTTTATAATTGTTCTGACTGACAATTCCAGTAGAACAAACTTCTTTGCCAATTCACAAATTTTCATTTTTGTATCGAAGTCTTTAATAATGGGTACGTTCGTAGTCAAACGAGTTAAACGCGTTAGTAACAAATTGTTCGCAAAGTCTAACGAAATAGGAATAATGATGACGTCATTCTCATTTAACTCGTTCGACTTTACAAACATACCTAATGTTAACTTTACATTCCAAAGTTAAAGTTTTTCTTTTCTTGTTTGATGCAGAAGAATTAGTTCTACTTCGTTTGGATGACATAGTAAAGTCTCTCAAGTCTCCGTAGATATAACAAACACAGAAATAAATAATACAAAATAAATTGTAGCTGTGTGTCGATTCCGTGCGACACATCTGAACATGTAAGCTGAACAATAGTGTGGGGGGAGTGAGGAACGTGTAAGCTGAACAATAGTGTGGGGGGAGTGAGGAACGTGTAAGCTGAACAATAGTGTGGGGGGAGTGAGTAATCAAGGGTTGCATGGCACTCAAACAAAAGACGAATTGACAAGATTTGAAAATCGCGTAACTCCGGGTTCACGTAAGTTGGAGTAGCATAAGTCAAGGTATTACTGTATAACAATTTACTATAAATATATTAACTTCTCTATTGAATAATGTGTGTATGTCTGTGCATGTAAATACAGTGGGTGATCGGTTAACGAACATAATCCGTTCCAAGACTTTGTTCGCTATCTGAATTGTTCGTTAACCGATTATTGATTTACCATAGGTTTCTATGGGAATTTAATTAATTCGTTCTGGAGACCCCCAAAAATAAAAAATATATACTTTCTTACTACATTTATTTATATGTAATAATAAAAATACATACACACACAGTCTTGCATTTTTATTAGTCATGTTTTTTTCCGTTTGAAATGGTTAAAGAATCTGTCTAATGTCGATTGCTTTTCCCTCTTCTTCAGGATTTTTCGTAAGTAATTAATAGCATTGCAATTGTAGAAATCCCCAAGCCTCAACCTGGTTTAGATGCCATTCTAAGACCGTTGTTCTGACATCCTCCCACTTCTTCAAACGATCTTTAATAACAGATATCAGCATTAATCCTCTTTTTCAGAAGAAAACATACCTCGCCGAGATTCTTGGTGTTCTTCATTCAAGAGTTCTTAGCGTTCTTCTATGTCAGATCCGTTTCGGGTTCCATTATGAACTCTTCGATGTTCTTTATTTCTCAGATTTGATTTTTGTTACTCCTTTAGCTGCTTGAGTTTTCTGGATTATACAGTATTTTTCTTAAATAAGATTGAACTGCTGCCTACTGTTCACGCCATACTGCCCGACAACATTAGGCATCTTCTGCCCACTCTCCACCTTTGCTATTATACTCTCACTTTTCGAAAAGAAAAACAGATGCAAAACTTAACGAGTGCCTACCCGACAGTCTAACAAATACATAAAAGAATTATTTTGTCAGAAAAATAAAAGGCTGGAATTACAAGGGAGAGTTTCAAAGTTCGGAGGAATACTATCCGATCGGTATATACCGGCTTGAGCGTTGATATCGATGTTTCCCACACTACGAAAAGTTTCAAATTGTTTCCCGAAGACATGGGAAGACCAATCGGTATTCATTATTTTACATCGCTTCTTCTTGTGTTTGTTCGTTATCCGATCATGTGTTCGTTGTCCAAACATAAAAATCTTTCGCGAAAGTGTTTGTTATCCGATTTGTTCGTTATCCGATCTGTTCGTTAACCGATCACCCACTGTACATAGATAAGAGATTTTAAAAAAGTGCTTTAGATATATACTAGTAAAGAATTCCCAGCATTACCTGAGAACTTAGGGGAGAGGGTTGAGTTATCCTTGTTATAGGGAAGTGTATGTTTCCCACAGGGTGGCAGAGCAACAATTCAAAATTTGGTGCAAATCAAAGGGTTTCACTTGAGCAGGATGAAATCAGAGAGGAGGGGCCAAAGTTTTATGGTAGTCCATGTTTCCCATATGGTACAGATAGTAAGTATGTGGAATTTGGTCCAGATTAGTCAAAGGGTTTGACAGTTTGTAGGAAAGATAAAATCAGCATAAAGAGTGAGGAGTCCATAACACAGCTATATTTCATGACAATTGAGTATTTTCAATTGACAATTTTAAGTATTTTATCATCAAAAAGACTCACTTGCACATGCCTACACCCAAAAAGTAACTGAAAGAACTCCATTTATGTAGATAGATATCTCATAACATAAGACTAATTCTTCTTTTTAAATAATGGTACAGTAGGGTTAATACTAAAACAATGAACACACAAAAATACTATAGTCCTATGTACAAAAGTTTACTTTCATCTAAGGAAAGTAAATTTGCTCCTTATAGTTCTAAGTATCTGGTAACATAAGAGTATTATTATAAAAAACAAACAACCAAGACTATATAAATGAAGCATATACACAACTACCTGAACTGCATGCATTAAAATTGAAACTGAAAATATAAGATAATAAGTTCAGAAAAGCCCATTAGGTGACAAAGGGGATTGACCTTCAATGCAGCAGGCAAACAATGATGCAGGACACATGCCATGGTAAAAACATCTTTTTCGTGCATTTTCCTTCTTTAATATAAAAATAGCATATAGCCTATGTTCATCTGTAAGGAATACACTTCCAATAATGAAAGAATTTTAAAAATTGATTCAGTAGATTCTGAGATTACCTTTAGCAAACAAACAAACATTCTTGCTTTATATTTTAAGTATAAATACAGACATAGGATATCATATTATTAGATGTTACTACATTAAACTAATTCAAACAAATATTTTTTATTTTTGGGCTGCAATTTGAAAAAACTGTAGACTATAAATTTCAACTGTTGTTTGTCTGTCTTCTGTATGTCATTCCTTAATTTCAAGAACAAAGTTAGATAGATAAAAGACAAGACCAGATATGGAAACAATAGGGGCAGGAGGCTCCAATTAACTATATATGAACTTCTGATGCAAACTGGAGGTCATGCTATTTTAATTCAAAAATTTTCCCCTGAAAAGTGTTAGATAGATGACAGGCATGACTATTAAAGGAAATGTATGTACAGGGGCAACCACTAGTAATTTGAGGTGCATATACAAGGTGGGCCAAAAGTCACTTTACCATAGAAAGCGCTTGCCTTTGTGAAGAGGAAAATGGGGGTCATTTAAAAGATGTTATCTTTCATGTTTAGGCCAAAAAAATCTCCAAGATGTGTACGTACATCATAATGTTAAAAAGAAACTTATAAAATAATTACCATTTATAAATGAAATAACTAGTGGTGCCTTGTATAATGTACTTAATCCGTTCCAGGTGCACGTCCGTTAAGTGAAAAGTCCGTTATACGAAACAAATTTTCCCATAGAAATACATGTTAAAACATATAATTTGTTCCACAGCATAAAATAACCATACTGTACCATAAAAAAATGAAAATGGAGCAGTCACCAATTATGCCAGGTAGTCAGATGTTGTGAGGAGGAGGTGGAGGAACACTTTCTTCACACCTTCATACAGATACAGACTTTTTACACATTGCAGCAGGTCTCTTTTTATTGTTTTTTAATCGGAGTCAGATTCAGGAGAGGCTACCGAAGCTTGCAGGGTCAACTCCTCTTGTTCCATCCTTTGTTTTTTGGCAGTTGGCTTCTTGAAAAACATGTCCAAGGTGGTCTGTTTCTCTCTCTTCTTCAACACCTGTCAGAAATGACGGGCAAGGGTGTCATTGTAGAGATCATTGATCCTGTTGGCCTCAACTGTGTTTGGATAATGAGTGTTGGTAAACTCCTGAACCTCTCCCCATTTGACAAGGAAGTTTTTGTCAACTTTCCTCCTTCTGATGATTTCTTACTTTGTTTCAATTGAAATCAGCTTTCTGTTTTTTAGAAGCCATGATTTGCACAACACATGAATAAATGTATATACACTGCACTGGGGTGATGTACATAATAAACAAGGGAGCAAGCTCTATACTTCAGATATACTAATAATATATTCTAATAATATTAATATATTATAAAAATAGCAGATTGTCATTGGCAATGGCAAAAGAGTGGAAACATCATTCTCACTTGTTCGCAGAAAGACCGTTGTTCACCTCACGTAACTGCCGAATGGAAAGCCCATTGTTCGCAGCCAGTCTGTTATTTGCAGTGTCCGTTATATGAGGCACCACTGTATTTTACTTTTAAAGTGACTTTTGGCCACCCTGTATTCAAGTGATTTAAAAATATGATTAAAGATTGCAGCCCGGCATTGTGATGATGTCACAATAAATAATTGCACATTATTTTATAAATTATTGGTGTTTGTAATATTGAAATTTTGTTAACAAGAAATAAAGTGATTTTACACTTACGATACTGATTCTCCTGCAAAATCAAAGACTTCAGTTATGATTTTCTTATTTGGAACAGAAGCTTTTTCTGGTTTCTGCTTTACTGAATCTGACTATAATAAAAAAATAAATAAATAAATAATAATACTTTTATTAAATACTCAACTTATACTGCAAAATAATTAAACTTATACTATACTACAATTAAATGTTTAATTAATAAAACTTATACTGTAAAACAATGAAATGTTTCAGATCCATAGATTTTTAATAAAGTATTTTTAGTTTTATCAGACAAATAATTATTAAACCTTTCAAATATGAATTCATTACAAATAAGTAGATAGAAACAAGTTTCAACTGCACAAGACAACTGATGTAATCTGATTGTTCCCTTTTAAAGCTTGTTCAGAAATTATTCATATGAGGGTAGGCTGAAAAGTAATGCACACATGTTTGTAGAGTGTAAACGAAATGATTTTCAGAAGCGTGACAGGTGGCATATGGAAGTAACATTCCCCCTCTATGCACATGTGCAGTTTGAGGTTGTTGCGTTCATTCAGTATATTTTGAGAAGTGGAAATACGGAGATGTGTTCTAGTGCTATGTCAACGCGACTTAAACAGCGTGATGTTATTGAATTTTTAACTACTGAAAAAGTGACTCCTACTGAGATTCATCATCGTTTAAAGGTTGTTTATGATGATGATGCTGTTGATAGGTCTACTGTAAATCAAAGGATAATAAAATTTTGTGGTTGCGAGCCTGGAAAAGTCATAATTGTTGATGAAACACGCAGCGGACATCCGATCACTGCCACAGACAATTACTGTTGCCCCTCATTGCATTGTTTAATTCTTCTCAGTACATACAGACTCTAAAACACCTCCGATGTTGAGCTTATCATGTTAGAGGCAGCCTGGCACCAATAATCTTGCAACATGACAATGCTTGTCCACACACCTTGCACACAACTGGAGAGACACTGCGAAACCTGAAGTTCAAACTGATTCCACATCCTTCTTATTCCCCCGATCTTGGACCTTGCTATTTTTATTTTTTTTCCTCTACTCAAGAGAGACCTCAAGGGTGATCATTACAGCTCAAACGATGAGGTGAAGGCAGCTGTCAAGTCCTGGATTCGAGAAAAGTCGGAAGAATTTATGTAGTTTATGCATTTGAAAAAAAAAAAATATATTAAAAAGTTTATTGAAAACTGGATATAAATACAATTAAAACCTGTAAAATGATAAACTGTGAGGAACATCCAATAATTATTTGGACTAATTTTATTGTTATGCAAATATTATATATATGGGTATGCCAGAAAAACATGATGGTATTTAAAATAAAAGGACATTTCAGAGAAAAACATGACTATTATTTTACATTAATACAGTACATTCCTCATTTTATGGAGAATTAATGTTGAAAATGATATTAGGTAAGTGTCCATCATGATGATTAATACACTCATTTAGTCTGGCTGAAAATAATAATAAAACTTGCTGTAAAGTGTCTCTCAGAATCCCTCAAATGTACTGACAAATTCAATCTTTTAGTTTATTCATACTGGCCAAATGTTGTTCATAAACATTATGTTTCACACAGTCCCACAAAAATTAATCTAGAGCAATCCAGTTGATGTTCCCAAAGTAAGAAATAATCCAGCCTAAAACATTTCTTCGAGAACTGTCATGAAGACATCTATGAATGGTTAGTTTTTGCTGGAACAATATATGATAAGGATCTATCTTGCTGGAACAATATATGATAAGGATTAACATCATGTCTCAGAAATGTTTTGCACCTGGCTGAGCAGCACTCAGTATTACTATTAAAGAAGTCCTTGTCGTAAAAAAACATTGGCTGCTAATGCTGTTAGATGAAATGGGATGTTACCACAATTATTTTAGCACTATGTGGAAATTGCTACTGAAATTCACATGGATGGTTTTCAGTCCAGAAACAACAGTTCTGTTTGTTCACAAACTCAGACATATGGAAGCAGAGCTTATATGACACCAGTAATCTGTTTTTCTTGCCCAAAGATTTGTTACAAAGCTGAATCTGCTGTCTGTTGACTTGTTCACTAAGTGCCTGGACAACTTATAAGTGATAATGAAAACCTTCATACAAGATTTTGCAAATGCAGCTATCTACCATACCAAGTACAACAGCTTACTTCCAAGCTAACCTGTGCAAAACATGAAATTTCTTACATGACTCATATTATCTGGTCTGCCCTAACATTATATTAATATGTTCTAAGCTTCTCACATACAGTAGAATCTCATTTTAATGGATTGCTTATTCTTCCAAAAATCATCCATTGTTCTGAGAATCTGTTATTGTGAATAATGAATTTCCTGTTCATCCAGGAAAATATCCATTATTTAAAAAAATTTCCATGTTTTAACCTCAGCATAAAAGAATACCTGTACTTGAAATTATTCAGTCTATTAAGATCTCTATCCTTTATTCTAAAGAATATGTGTTACAAGATGACATATTATGCTGTATGTATGTACTACAACAAAGCAAACAGAAACTGTATGTACTGTAAACACAGACAAGAGGCAAATTACATATGCTTATTAGCACTACACTTGACTTCACAATTTGTTAAAACACCTTGTCCATCTTGGTTTGTTTCATGGTGCTTTTCTGCCTATTGAATACAACTGCTTCCTGCTAACAATGCCATGTACAGTGCAGCCTGTTCATTTATGCTGAAACTTATCAGGAAGGTTTGCAAAACTTCGAAAGACTATGGCCAAACTAAATTTTGGCACTACACTTAGACCAGTATTAGAATATTCACTACGTGGCTTCTCCTCAATGATATCAGTCTGCTGACTCTCTTTGTACAATTCTTCAATTATACAAATCCCAGATGTAACAAAAGCACAAAGTTTACAATATATAGGTCTAGAAAAATAAACCTGTTATTCAGAGTTACAGATTCATTAAAAGGAGGTAAAATTGCATTGATTTGATGGGACCTGGAAAAAAATGTTATTCTGCAATCCATTATATGAGATTCTACTGTATATCCAAATTGATCAGTAATTCTAAAATCTAATTTAAAACCAGAGTCAACCATTAAAATTTGGTTTCTTGAGGAGTTCCACTTTATTTCATGACATGAAATAAAGCCATAAAAATTTTATAAAGTGTATTTCTATTTTAATATAATTTTTTTATTGTCACTAAGACAGATCTCAAATTATATTTTTTGTTGATCCAAATATTAAGATTGTTTTTATCACACAAAATATTGTGAAATATAATAAAAAATGCTGAATGCAGTAGGACCTTGCCATGTGTGGACTTGCCATGCACAGTTTCAGGTTTATGTTATTGGCAATAAAGAAAAAAACTTAGTTGTGCATTTTTTCTCACAATGCATTCATCACAGCACCTTCATCATTCTTGTTCTGGGAAAGTGCTATGATTATTTCTCTCTTTTGCACTAAACACTGGAACTCACATCAGTCTTTTCTTCAGATCTTGCTAACAGGTCATCTGTGTGATATAATTGCTTTTCTTTGTTTCCTTTAGCCCATCAGTGGCCAAGTAGATAAAACCACTGAACACTGATAGTTAGTCATGAATTCACACCTGACCAAAGAGCTGGACACATGGAGTTTTCCTGGTTTTCCTATTTTATGGCTAATGCCTAAATAGAAGCTAGTTTCCCATAAAAGTTCTCTCAGGAGACAATTACCCATTTTTTTATACCATCAATCCAATTCAATCCTTTATGCTAATTACTTTACAAACACGGTTCCAAAGTCAAGAATAGTGATACCGGTAGCTTTGATAAGACAAAGAAAAGCTGTAAAGGGCCAATTTTAAAGAAAAAAGATTAAAATTTTAAATTTAGTGAGAAATAAGAAAAAATTCTACTTTTGAAAATTTTCAAAAGTTGTTTTTATGATTTACAACTACAGTATTATGCTATTTATTTGCCTTTATATATATAAAATGTGCTAAAGCAGAGGTCACACAGAATAGTGTGAAAATCACCACTTGGCAATATTTTTATGAGAGTGGCAATAAAAACCTTAGTCTGCTTATTTTGACATTCAGTGTGAAATTAAATTACAAAGCACACTTCAGGAAAACAGCAGAATGTCGAGCTCTACATGTCTAGCAATACCGTAATGTCATGTGGCAAGTTTTGACAGAAAAACAGGAAGTGATGTTGAGAACCAAAGGCAATTTTTGTACAATGCCAACCAGCATTTCCAGATTGCAATTTTTTTTATTAACTGACAGAATATTTTGGGGTGACATTTTTTATCACTTTGATCTTTTTTCAGTAAACTAAAGCATAAAAAGTTTGTATGACATCATGTAAAATACTGTTTAAGCATTGAGATCAATACGTTATTCAAAATTTTTCAAAAATGATTCCTATTTCTAAGTAACAGCTTAATATGTTACTTTCGCTTTCAAGACATCAAACTGATAAAGCTACCAGCACTTACATTAATTAGTAAGTAAAACTGGTGGCGATAAATAATTTGAAATGGTAAAAAAGTTTTTTTAAACTGGCAAAGTGGTTGGCAATTTTTTAAGATTTTCCAGAAAAACCTCTATGATAGGTATGCTAGTATAGAAAATAATAATTAATGGGGTTCACTTCTTTGCAAGAGGTCTTAGAATGTAATGGCTGTACATAGCAGGGTCCTTCTGTATTCATTTTATAATTTTTCATATTTATCTTTTCAAATCTGATAGATTATAAAAGTTAAAAATTTATTTTGGAAAAGCATTCCCTTTTATCATATTCCATTCATCTGACTATAAATGCATTTATAGATTTATTATTTGATAATAGTAATGTATTATAATACATGTTATGTCATATATTTTTGTCTGTTTATTATAGTTTATATCATATTTTCATTTAGCATGTTCGATAAATAATATAAATGAATAAACAATCTAAGCATTATTTTAACTTATAATACTGTANGTATTTTTTTTTTTAATATAACTTGGAATTCATTTGTTCAATGAATTCTAAGTTACAGTATATTGGTTCAATGAATTCCAAGTTTTATGAACTCCAGTGCTAATTAATTATCCAAATACATGGATAATTAATTAGCATTATGACATTCAGAATAAATTGATATTATAAGTAATTACATTATGATAAATTTAATGATTAGATAATTTACCTGTGTCTGCAAATTTTGCTCTGTTTTAGGTTTGGATTTTGCAGGAGGCTCAACATCTTTTAAGAAATCAGCCCATAAAGAATCTGATTTCTTTTTATCAACTTCTGGCAACTTTTTTCCTGTTTCATTACCATTTGAAACATCATCATCATTGGTATTATCATCTGATTCATTAACACTATCAGAATTATCATCTCCATTGTTAAAATCATCATCGTCATCCTCATCATCTTCATAATCATCATCTGATTTATTTCCACGTTTTCTTTTTCTAAAATATACATTTTAAAATTATATTTCAGAATAATACTTTTACTATAACAACTTAGAACAACTAAAAGGCAAAACCTTGATTTAACAGTTTTCCTTTTGCTTTTTGCTCGAGTTCTTTTTGTTTTAGATCGTCCTCTTTTACTGCTAGCAAATTCTTCACCTGAAAGAAATTCATCACTTTCTTCTCCTACAATAAAAGAAATAAAACAAACCATTATATTCTCCACAAAGCATTTTATTATTTATAAAAATTTCAATACAGTATTTATTTTTCAAAAATAAAAATATTTTATAAATTAACAGGTGCCCAGAAAAATCCACACAAAATATTTCAGGCTCTAGTTAACTTTATGGTAAAACTGCTATAATTTGAAAGCATATGGAATGTTGTAGAACATTTCATAACAATTTTCTGTAAAATTGCAATAATAAAAAAATGCTTTACACAAAAGAGTATACAACTTTTACATATTAAATAAAACATTAAGTAAAAAGTTTACAGTAAACCATTTTGCAAATGAAGAAACTGAAAACAGACTGTACTCTCCACTCCACAAATACTGCACTCTCTAATGTTTCAAGAGTGGATTACTATCACAGAAAAGAAAGGTGATTGGTAGAAAAGCAAAAACTCTAATGATAGCCAAGAATTGAAGAGAAATTTTGAAGACAGATAAGGTTGCAATTCAATCTGTAGCACTGAAACTGAAATTTAATGTACTTGACTCCACAAGGATTTTGAAAACAAAAAACATTAAATATCAAAATAAACAGGTAATTCTGAACAAAATAGACACACAAAGATAAGATTACTGACAAAGATGAAGCATGAAAGTTACTGCAAAAGTTCTCTGAAAAATTTTTCATTTTGGATGACAAATTTTATTTCATTTGCATTTAATGATCTATGATAATGATGGATTTGATATCAGTGATATCTACTTACACTTGCCAATATAAAGATTTCCAAGAAAAAGAAATTTGAGGGCAACATTTTGGTTTGTATTGCAATGACACTGAAAGAACTGAATCAACTCCTAATCAGAAAATCAAGTTTTGCTAATTTTGCTATCAATGTCCAGTGCTATTTAAATGAATGTACACAACAACACCTTACATTTGAAAGAACTATTCTCAAGCAGAATATGTCTTCTGGCTAGATCAAGTTCCCATTTTGCCAAAACTGTACGGAATTATTAGCAACAAGAAAATATCACATTCATCGAAAAGGAGGATAACCCTGTAAACATGCCTGAAATTAAATAAAATCGAGCAATTATTGCTCTTTTCATAAATGACTGCCTTGAGAATTGCCCAAAAAATTTTTGGGCAATTCTCAAGGCAGTCATTTATGAATAGAGGTGGAAGGCAAAAAGCACATCAGCTGATCAATTGCATAAAGTACTGTCAGAAAAATGAAAACAAAAGCCTTGTAAAGAAAATTACATCACACATCCAAAGTTGAATCAAACATGATCAACTGTGGTCACCGAATGGTGAGTTGTTAAAGGAAAAAGGGAAAACAATTAAAATAATGAAAAAAAAACTTTAATTTCACTGGTTGGTTATTACGTTCCAATTTAGGTTCTACAGGATCGTTCGATTCCGACACTCCTTTTGGTACTGGGCTAACCCGTAAGAATAAAGAATCCCCACGCGCAGGTAGGAATGTTGATACGAATTCCGTGACAAAATTAATATTTTTACCGACAAATTCAATCGCGACAAATAACACAATATATACATACGACTAAGACTTAAAGCTACTTATCCTATTAATAAGAAAAAAAAAGGAGGGACAGAAGTTAAGGAATAGAGAGTGGAAAAAGAGTGAGAGGTGGGTACCCAATGGTGGTCGATACTCTAGTTTTCTGTAGGAAGGTCGATACGTGTTCTTTGTCCTATCCCGACTTTGGCCTCCCGTCCAGGGCTGTATCTCTGACTGCTGCTAAAACAGTCCAGAGATCTCTCGTCCACGTCCTTCTTCTCCGACGTCCGGGCTAAAAAGTGTCCGTTCCCCCTCATTCGTACCCTCAGGGCTCCCCTTTTCCCTTTGTTTCCCAAGTAGGTCAATTCATTCCACGTGGTTAGAAGTTTCTAGAATGTTTGATGGAACAAAGAACAAAGAGGGAAGAAAAGAGATAGGAAAATATCTACATATTTTCGTTTTATACAACAGAACAATATGGTGGTACACCACACAACAACGGTCTTGTAGAATTACAAAATAAAAGATAATGTACAGCTTTCATCACCTTTCAAATGACTATTTAAGCTCATGGAGTTTATATATATATATATAATGTCATACTTTCAATGGTTTCTTCAGAAGCATGGGATATATGGTAGAATGGATTATATGAAAGTTTATTTCTATTCTGGCAATTTTCTATGAGGTAAACCTGTATATCATTGTAAATTACCTGCACATAATTATGATATATATTTTATATTTATCAAAAAGTTACAAAATTTTGTCCATGGAAGAGGTTGAGTTTTACAAAAATTTAGGATTCCAACAGGCCAAACATAAAATATGCACTGATAAAACAAAGATTAACACTTGAATACCAGAACAAATATGAAGTACTAAGAACATACCTAAATGCAAAACATACATGGTGTGTTCAAAAAGTATCGGACCTTTGGTCGGCAAAAATAAATTTATTGACTTTAAGGTACAAAACCCTAATCCCCTTCAAAGTAGTCTCCTTGGTAATGTATACACTTCTCTTAGCGTTCCTGCCATTGCTGGAAACACTGCTGGAACGCATCTTTTGGAATGGCCATCAGCCAGTCCGTCGGATTCCGCACAATGTCTTCTCTTGACTAAATTCGGGTTCCTTTTAGCGGCATTTTCAGCTTGAGAAATAGCCAAAGGTCACACGGAGCCATGTGGGGAGAGTACGGAGCGTGACGAACCACAGGACTGTTGTGTTTGGCGACGAAAGCCCGAATCAGATGCGCAGAATGGGCGGATGAGTTATCACGATGGAGCTGCCAAGTTTTGATCAACCACAGATCCGGTTGTTTGCGTCGCACTGTATCGGAAAAACGACGAAGGACCTCCTGGTAATACTCCTTTGCGATGGTTTGGCTTTGTGGTGCGTACTCACGACACACCACCCCACGAGAGTAAAAAAAACTGTCAACATGACCTTTGATATTGCTGCGGACCTGCCACGCTTTTTTTGGCCTCGAGGATCGTCCCCGAAAGCCTGCTGAATCTTGCAAATGGTTTACACTTGGGTATCACCAAGGTTTTTGGCAAAATTTGATGTAATATCGCTGCTCACGTTGTTCAGTCATTTTCCAACTTAGTGAAATCCAACGAGAGCGCACTACATGACCTCACTCATAGACCGATTGCCAACGACTGACGCTTCCTGCAGGCGGGAAAAAATTCAGGGCTGTGCATGACTGTCCCCTCCACAACTCCACCGAAGGAGGCCTCTCACGCATCATTGGTTTACGCGGAAAAAAAAAGGTCCGATACTTTTTGAACAGACCTTGTACTACTAAAGCTATTAATATATATGTTGTCCCTGTACTCACTTATTCTTTTGGAGTTATACACTGGACACACAGATCTTGAGCAACTCCAAATGAAAACAAGAAAAACACATAATAAGCATAATATCATCACCCAAAATCATCCATAGAAAGACTAACTCTTCCTCATAAAGAAGATGGCCATGGCCTGACTAATATAGTTAACTGCACTACAAATTAATTCTGACACTGCAAGTTTTCCCACAAAATTCAAGAAACATCAAGATTACATATAAGCTATAACTCTGACAGACAGTAACACACCTTCAAACTTACATTCTAAGCATCTGGACATATTTTAACACATAAATAACAGACATCACTAAGCAGTCATGGGTTCAAAAGGCACTTCATGGCTGACATTGCCTACAACCTAGCTCAGCACTATGTTGATAAAACTGTGTCAAACTACTGGCTGACTAGATCTTGCCTGTTTGGAAAGACAGAGAAATTTATATTTGCCATTCAATATCAAGCTAAAAACACTAAATACTGCAGAAAACACATTCTGAAGGATACATCATTCATATATGATTCTTGGAGAAAATGTCCCATTCTGCCAGAAACAATACAGCATATAACTTCTAGTTGCAAGTTCTTAGCACAGACTATTTACATTGGTGTAATCAAATAGTAAATATAATACAACAAGAGACTACACACAACCACAGTTTATTAAAACACCCAGGTACTATACTACAAATATACTCCATAGGTAGTATTAGAAAATGGCATTGTTTAAATACAAACATCTCCATTCCAAACACTCATAACATGAAAAATGTTCCCAATGAAAAAAATAAACAAGTACATTCCACTCACCCAAAAAATAAAGCTGTGGAGGATGGATAAGGTATTTATTATATCTGTTGTCTTCTTTTCTACTAGTGCTATATCACATACACTAAACAAAAGTCTAGAAAAGTTAAACCTTAATAAAAACATACACGACACTACAGAAAGCCACAATATTGAACATGTCACATTGTTAAGAAATTTCTAGATGTTGACACACATGTCAAGAACACAGAAGCTTAATGTTACACTTGTTTGGGTAGCTATGCTTTGACTTCAGTCATGCATAGCACTAGCACCAGTATCAGCTAAATGTGACAATAGAATAATGAATGATAAATAATAAATGATAGAAAACCTAAAAGATTCTCTCAGAGAAAAAAATATATATTAAAGGAAAATAATTGTTACTATCAATATGACAATATGAATTACTAGATTTTAAAAAACAGTTTTTAATAATCATTTTGAACAGTTTTTGAAATTCAGTAGTAGTTAATCAGTAGTTAAGTTTTACTTTATTATTTGTAGATTAAAGAAAATACAAACATACTATTCAAGCTTTCATTAATAATTATTTTATAAATAATTGATATATTTAACTGTTATACCGCTAATTATAAATAATTACTTATCAAATGATAATGCTGGATTATCATGCTATAACTTAGCTAATTAAATATACAGATATTACATAACTGGGCTAAAGATAGGCAATTAATCACCATCTTGTATTAAATTTAATAACAAAAATTAATTTAAATGATATCTTTTATTTAATTTTTATTTTATTTAATTAATTTATGATATTTTTGAGTATTCTGGAAGAAAACACAAACA